AAGTTTCTCGCGAGAATTAAAACTGCTCGTTTTTATAGCTTCCGATTGTCAAGGATTATAAAAACGAGGCGCGAGGCTCGAATAATCTTGTCTTCTCTTCCCAAATTGTCCGTTGTTTGTAAGCACGCTGTAATAAATTCTCCCCAATTGACGCTCAGATTGTACGGTAATGTCTCTCTGATCGACGCTCGGATTGTCCACGAAAATAAACAATTTGGGAAGAGGTGGTACGATTAAGAGGGGTACGATTAGAGGAGACACGACTTTTCGAGTCTCGAGGCACATTTATATAGTCTCCGATTGTCAACAATTATAAAAGCGAGCCGCGAGGCTCGAACAATCGTATCTCCTCTTCCCGAAATTGTCCACTTTTCTGCGCGATGCGAGCGCGAATTAGGGAGAAATTACTGCGAAACGCGCCACGATGTTCGTCAGAAATGATACCAGCGTCATCGTCGCGACTAAAACGTCAAAGTAACGCGGTCTAAAGTCTCTTCTACGAAGAAACGCTGCGAATTCGACGACGATAGGAAAGAATCTTGCTAAAAAAAGCCGCGGTAGAGACGACTGTTAAGCCTGTCCGCAAAGCTGAGAACATTGGCGACGCAGGAAGATGAGCGCAGGTTATCAAATCGAGGCTACAGGCTCGAGGCTGAAGACTAGAGAGGTTAGAGAAAAGTAAATCGAAGCGATCTTCTTTCGGCCAAGCGTCTTCTCTTCGGCAGAGCACTTGGCGCTCTACGATACAGTAATATCTCTCTAACTGATGCTCAGATCGTCCATAAAAATGGATAATTTGAGAAGAGGAGATACTATTATTCGAGTCTTGCCAACGTGTAATCGTCGACGACTGTAATAACGAGCTGCAAGGCTCGAATAACCGCGTCTCCTCTTCCGAAATTGTGCATTTTTCTGCGCGATCTAAGCGTCGGTAAGGAAGACATTACTGTACCGGGGAAACGCTAAATTTCCGCGACCCTTGACAGCGATCTTCGAAAAGAAATTAGCCCCTGGGCTCGTTCGGGGTAGAGAGAACGGACGATCGCAGGCCGAGATAGGCTTAAATCGGGCTCGGTTCCCTCCTCGGGTCTGCGAGAAGAGGATCCTCGAGAGAAGAAATTAGCAAGCAGATCCGGTGAGAAGTTCGAAGAAGCGGCCGAGACACGTTTGGCCGATCTCGAGCGATCTCGAGCGATCTCGAGCGAGCGAAGCTGCGTTGGAAAGCGAGATAAGGCGACCGTGTAGGGTGTACAGGGTGCAGGGTCGGGCCCGCGAGGGTCGATCGCGATACTTTTCGGTTAATCCGGAAGGTTTATTGCTCGGCGGCTTATGGCGCTGGTGCTGAAAAATCATGAAGCCGGTGGCCTCGTGGGCGAAAAAAGCTGGCAAGCTTCGAGCGGGCCAAGGCGAAAGCACGGACGCGGTGTCAGCGTCGATATCGCATGCAAACCGGTATGTACTCACTCGTTCTGTATGGTGAGCATGACTGCAAGGGGCCAGCACGGTGTCCACCCTCGCCTCGCGCCGCGATCTCTCGCGATTCGATGGATCCGACTTCGGACCCGAATGGCTTAGGCACGGCCGGCCGTATTATCTCATAGAGGAGGCTGCTCTCTCTGTCCATTCAGTCTCGATATAAAGGTACGCGGGGAAGGGGCCCGCCATAAAACCATCTGAATGGCGAACACACGACTACAAATATAATCGACCCGGCCTGCAATGTTACGGCCGGGTACGATGTGCTCGCGGCATGCTCGACGGATCGACGGCTCGACGGCTCGACGGCTCGTCGGCTCGTCGACGCGACGGCTCTTCGGCGGACAACCTATCGCGATCCCGAATTTACGCTGCGATTACAGTAATGTCTCCCTAACTGACGCTCGGATCGCGCAGAAAAATAAACAATTTCGGGAGACTAAATTGTCCATTTTCGTGGACAATCCGAGCGTCAATTAGGGAGACGTTACTGTACACGGTGGTCTCGGTTGTCGACAACGTTGTTCGAGCTCCGCGCGGTCGATGAAGATCGATCGGAACGATTCGAGCTTTAAAAAACGAGATCGAATTTATAATTGCCGACGATTCCTTTTCGCGAAAGCTCGGCTTTCTAAAACCGGAAAGTTGGCATTGCGCGTTAAATCGCGAACCAACGAGCACTCGACGCGACGCGATGCGATAATAGGACCGCGATTAGGGTGATTGCGCACAGTTTTCTGCTCGAGTTGCAAACAGGAGCCAATTAGAAAATTTCTCGACGTTCCGATGTCGAATAAAATTGAGGAGCACCTGCCGGGATCCGGCAAAGCCCATTATCTTTGCTGTAATTCGAGCCAATGTGTACCCAAGCGACTCTTTCGAAGGCGCGTACGGTTTACATACGTCCTGCGTACCGTTTTATCGTTAAGGTTCTTATCCTTCGAAGAGCCGAGGGACCCGGGAACCGAAGTAGAAAGGGGGCAAAGTTTGCGATCACTCGTCCTTAACCTTTTAGGCACGACGCGCCACTATAGTGACTTGTTCTAGTAGCTCACGCGCTCATCGTTCGAATCAAATAATCGTCTTCGTATGCATTGTTTCACACTTCTTTTGTCTTCGCATCGATTTACAACAGTCTACAGGATGTCCCAAAAATGTCTCGCAATCCGGAAACGGCGGGTTCCTCGGATCGTTCGAAGCAACTTCTTCCTTTACAAAAATGTTCTCCGAGGCACCGTTAACGAGTTTTTAACAAAAAAAGCAGTGACCAATAAGAATCGAGTACGGCTGACGCGAGGCGGCCCAGCCAACCAGCGCGCGAAGCCCGGTTCCGCTCATTGGCTCGGTCGCCTCGCGCCAGCCGAGCTCGCCTCTCATTGGTCACTGTTTTTCGTTGATAACTCGTTAACGGTGCCCCGGAGAAAATTTTTCTAAAGGAAAAAGTTGCTTCGAATGGCCCGAGGAACCCGCCACTTTCGGATTGCGAGACATTTTCTACAGATTCAGTACAGTATACATCAGACTCTGCCATCCAGAGAAATAGCTTCGCGCAAAATTCAGCCGTACCTAAAAGGTTAAGCGATCTCCTCGAAGCAACTCGAAATCCATCCAGTTCATTTTTATGGTCACGAATTGTAACACAACCATGAAAACGAGCTGCAAGGCTCGAATAATGGTATCTCCTCTTCCCAAATTCTCCATTTTTGTGCTCAATTCGGGCATCAATTAAAGAGACATTACTGTACTTATTGTTAATTTTTTACGATGTCCGCGCGGATTCACGGTAGAGAAGAATCGCCCGGTTAACAGATCGAACATGCAAAAAACAGGCTAAACCGCGTCCGCGAGATTCGCGGCACAACGCTGCCAGCCCGCCGAAATCGCTGGCTAATAATCGTCGAAAAATAATTACGCGTCTCCTCGAAAAATAATTATATACCAGAGCTTGTTTTAACGCTTGTTTAACGAGCGTCGAGCGATTCGAGCGTTCTGTTCGCCGACGTTCGCGGACCTTTCGTCGCGCGACGTTTCATACTCGCGTAAATCAGAACACGCATAAATTTTCCAGTGGCAAACGACGATACGAAACGATACAGCAATCTCGTGGTTTCATTACCAGCCGTCGAAATTGCCGAACGGTGTGGCAACCTGACTGAATTCGTTAACGACGGTGGAAATTGACGCAGGCAACGTTGGATATTTTCGCGCGTGTTTTGACCGTTAAATAATTATTGTCGCCGACCGACAACGCGATCCGACAATCGGACAATTTTTTCGAATCGTCGGGACGAAACGAACGCGAAACTGAACGGTGAATTACGCTTTTAATTTCGTGGCGAGAGTCGATCGCGTGGGTGCGTGCGAACACGAAGAAAATGATTCTGCTATTTTGGAACGGTTCGCTGCCGGAAATGTGCAACGGTGCCTCGTTGGCACCGGCCATGATAGAGCATCCAGCGTCCAGTCTGTCATCGAGAAAGACGATCGTTTCTTCTCCATCGAGCCTATTGTCTCGCGAAAGACGCTCCGGAGGCGACCCCCTCCGATTTCAATGAACGCCCCTGACACAATGGACCCGTGCAATAGGCCGTAATTTCGTAATTCTACGAAAATTGCGTTCGAAATTTCGGAAGCTCCTAGTCGGCCGTATTCGAAGACACCGAGCCGAGTTATCGATAACTATATGAGCCGTTTATTTTGAAAGTGGCATAAGTCACTTCACCGTAATGAAAAGTGGTGATTTTTTAATGTTTATGCGAAATTATTTATACCGAGGAAAATATCAGTATCCTGAGATAACGAATACAAGCAAATCTTGTTCGAAAGTTAGCATCCATATTTTGAAACGTGTTAAAACGCAAACCCTTGAATATATCGACTTAAAAACAAAGTGACTTGTGCCACTTTCAAAATAAACGGCTCATATGCTCGTGACAAAAAGCGAAGAGAACAACGAAACTTCAGACTTTCGACTTTGGAAGAATCTAAGAACGTCATCGGTCCATATCGAAATTCTTTAAAAACGTGAAGTAACTCTGTCTAATTATCTCGCAGCGACGATTAAGCGAGCTTCGAATCCAACGTATTCATAATAATGCGAAGAAAACGGTAAAGAATCTGAGAACACTGCTGGTTCAACGAAATCTCTTGGATGAGAATTAACTCTTCTTTTTTTTTAGAGAAAAATCGCAGCTTGCGTTGCTGTTCTAAACGTACGCGCGTATCTCGAGGGAAGGAAGGGAAAGTTTTCGATAGCTCGATTCAGGCACAAGAAGAAAAGAAATTGTCGTCGGCTAAAGTCGAAGAACCGTCGCCGCGGCGCGGCTGAGGCAGCGTTGAATAAGTTATTATCGGGCCAGTTGATTATCATCGGGCGAGCGATCGGGGCACAGTAGCATGCGTGTCGGAAAGGAAGAAAAGGAGGCGAAGGAAGCGAAGGAAGAAAAGTCGGCATGCTGAAGTGGCGAGAGACGGGCACGGCGCGGACAACCGACGTAAACGTCAATAGAGAAAATTGCTCTTACGCGTGTTTAAACGAGGACCACGAGAGACACGTGGTTGCAGTCACGAGGACGTTCCTTCTGGCGAATAAGTTCCTCTCTCTCTCTCCCTCCCCCTCTCTCGCTCCGTCGCTCTCTCTCTCTCTCCCAGCCTCTCTCTCGATCGAGAAACCGCTCTTCACGTTCCCTCGCGTCTCCTCGCCGAACATAAACAACCAACGATTATTTCCCAGCTCTACTCTCCGCCTAGATCTTCGATCACGATCCACTGCTCGGCGTTCCGTTTATCGTTGCACCGGAAACGCGTTCTCGATCCTCGATCCGGACGTCGACGATCGTTGCGTTCTCGATTCCCGTGCGACGCGGTGGGTTTTTTTCGGTGACGACGGTCGCCGGATACCGTTCGTTGGACTTTTCCAGTTGTTGCGCTCGTAGATCGGGCACGATCGAACACCGGGCTGCGATCCAGGGAACGACGAACGAAATCGAAAGAGCGAACAGGTGTTCCCGCATGGCATGCGCGACCGCGTACTGACGCCGCCGCGATCCAGGAACGTCGCCGTTGATACACGACAGACTCCTTCGACGCCCAATGCGCATCCACAACAACCCTGCCGACCACCGTCACACGGCCAACCCTCTTTGTTCTCCTACCCTTCTTACCAACACGCTTCTTCTTCTTCTTCTTCTTCTTCTTCTTCTTCTTCTTCTTAGTCTAATTCTTCGTTTTCCCCTCCTTTGTCTTGTTGTTCTCGTCTCTTCTTCGTTACCAATTGCTCGTCAAACAGAGCGTCGATCTTCGCGCTGTTCGCAGCACTCTTCTCGAATCTTCGTACGCTGAAGCATTCCAATGCACTTGTTACAAAGACGTCGATGCATTGATAATTCAATGAACAGCTACGATATATTATAGAGAAGCCGTCGAATTTTAAATCATGCCCAAGGTGGACACGATTCAGAGCTTGCAGTCGATTAAAGCCACTTCGTTCTAAAGCTCGAGATGCGCGTGTGTGCGCGCCCACTTCTTTTTTTTTTTTAAACATCGGTACACTCGACGTTGGCGATATAATCGATAGCTACGAAATAGAAAGACCGTCGAATTCGAAGTTGTGCCCAGGGTAGACTCGATTTAGAGCTTGCAGTCGATTAAAGCCACTTCGTTCTAAAGCTCGAGATGCGTGTGTGTGCGCGCCCACTTTTTTTTTTAAACATCGGTACACTCGACGTTGGCGATATAATCGATAGCTGCGCTACGAAATAGAGAGAAAACGTCGAATTCGAAGCTGTGTAGACAGGGTACACTAAATTTAGAACAGTTGGGCAATTAACGCCATCGATAACGTCGCGAGTACTTGTGTTTTTTGGAGAGACGTATCGTAATCGTATTCGAGAGTTAGATTCATAGCCAATTAATATGATCGACGGTACTGGAGGAATTCCTTTTTCGTTGTTCGGGCTTAGGCTAGTTGACAAGTTATTTAAACCAGGATAGTACTAACCTGAGAAGATGCTACAAATGAATATACTTCGACAATTTAATTATTAATGTATCAGCGATGTAAAACAATGAAAACAATGTAACGGAAATGTCGCCGAATACTTTTGGCTGCTACTGTACGTCAGGGTTAGGCTCAACCCTCGTCCGCCGATCGAGTCAATTTGATCCAAAAGTAAACCTTTGCTTCCAATTACAGTTTCTGCGATAAGTCGCGGACAAACCCTTCTGTTGGTTCGACGTTTTATCAAGTTTTTAACGTTGGATCTATTCGACACCAAGGTAAAAGCCAAATTGAATAAATAGGGGACGAATGTTGACAAAATAAGTTTCTCAATCGATGACAGAATTCAGTTGGATAAAATGCCAATGTAATGGCCAAATAAATGTCTCGAAATTCCAAGTCGATTTTAATTTTTCGAAATACTAAATTCTCTCTAACAAACTATGCGTACGTACGTCAAGGTTATCAATTAAATCTTCGTCGCGGTATATTCGAGTTAATCGCTGTCGTTGTCATTGCTCGTCGATAATTAGAAATATTAGTGAAATAAAGGTCGCGCTGGAAATAGTTTTTATTCGACCCGAGCACTTTGCGTAGATGTACCGATAGTACTCCAGTTTTATCGTATACGATTTACCAGTTTCGAGTGTATAGTTTGATATGACGCAAATCAAATTCGAGTGGTTGCACCGGGGGGATATTTTAAATTTCGAAATAATTGAAACGCATTCGTTTGGACGTGAGATAGAATATTCGTTATATTGCGATCGTTATTCCAAGCGATTTTTTACAGATTTCAATGGTAAAGCTCGAATTACATTACAAAGCTTATATGAAATTAAAAAATCACACGTAGGCGTGCACGTCCGGTTGCATACTCGCGAACGCTTCGCGATGACATCTATGATAGAAACTACAAATCATTTGCTAGCGCAAAACTTTCCACGTCAATCAAAACTTTTAATCTTATCTCTAAGCTTGATATTAAACATTTCTTCTTTTTTTTCTTTGTCGGTTAATCACGGTTTATCGTACTTGTGTTTCTATTCCAGGAAGATAAAAATTACTAAAGCAGCTATTAATATAATTGTAACATCGGTAACCGTATTTTTACCATTTACAATGTCATTTTCAATATTTCATAACAACGGTTAATTTATCAATCCCGCGCGATTCAAACGCGAAATATCGAATTGAAATTTGTTCTTAAGACCAACAGACTTCTAACAAATATCTTTTTTAAATTTCCTACAGTTTCTCAAAACACCGAGGAACAATTCGTTACCTTAATTGCTAGATAGCGTAATCGTATTACCATACTTACGATCGAGTGCACAGTGAGATTTCTGTTACTCTTACGAAATGAAATCGTCTACAAACACGTGATTAGATAAAAACGATGTTTTTAATGGCAAAACGTATTCGACGTTATACCAATCCTTTCGTATCCCGCAACCGATATAGTTCAGATCCTCAATTAGAGAATGATCTTCTAATCGAGGAACATTTCTTGTGAAGTTACTACAAATTACTTTTAACTACTTTCACGTTGCGATCAAACCGATTTACTTACGTCGGATCTATTACATATTCAAAAATGTACGTAACATTCTTCGTTTCCTTCGGATCATCGTTTAAATAGAACATGATCTTTGTTTGTTTCAGAACAATACGACAACAATGACTTCGACTTCTTCTTTGGATGTCACTGGACTTAAAATCGTGAAAAAGGAACTACACGTTCCGTCGTTCGACGAAATAAAGGACGGTAAGTCATGGAACTAACATGATACAATATGTAATACGCGAGTTTCCGCACATTGTAAATCTAGAATAGTATAACATGTGTTTTCTTTCTCACAGTGTTAACGGAAGGTTTGACTAAAAACTTTTCCGAAGTTCAGGTCGAAGTTGTAGACTGTCCAGACTTAACACAAGAACCATTCACACTTGCTGCATCGGGTAATTATAATTTTCAAGAGTGAAACAGCTTCTCAAATATTTGGTATTGTCACTTTAAGCTATGTTACAATGTATAATTAGGCTTAGGAGGTAATCCTACGGTGTTGGAAATTGGGGGTCCCCCGTTTCTTCTTCCCACTGTGCAGAGGGATAAGGTATACGATGTCCAACAACTTGTGAAGCACTTGCAGTGCTGCAAGAACGCTTTCGTCATTGGAGCAGGAGCCGGACCATGGCCCCACATAAATTGCAATTGCGAGGTATGCGTAGTAATTTATATTCTTGCGCGCAGAACCGCTTCTTTACCGGAGAATCTTTTTCTAGCTTATGATGAATCTAGTTCTCCCAGAGCCCAATGTGAAAAATGAGAGTCGCATCGCATCTGTTGACAAATTAGATGGGAAGTGTGTGCTACGAACCTTGCCTAACAACGAAACTAGATTAGCTTTGTTGGGCAACCTATTTGTCAGCGAAGGAAAACCAGGACAGGTACTAAAAGTGCATGCCAAAAAACGCACTGGCAGTGATGATTTCATTGCGTGCATGCAGAAAGCACTTGCAAAACATTACCAAGATAATCTTGTCGGTACGTACATTTTACAAATAAATTCACAATCGTTAAAACTATAAAAAGAAAGAATTCGTAATATTTTAACAACATTGTTGTTTAATCTAATTTTGAAAATCGAATTGCGAATTGTAGGATTAGGAGGAACGTTCCTGATGGACAATGGGAAAATCAAACAGCACGTTATGAGTGATTTTTCCACAGTTCCATTGACCACGGAAGGAAAACTCAACGATTGGCTGAGTTTCTACAACATGTCCACGCCCCTGATTGCTGTTGGTACATTTGTCAGCTCTGAAAGCGTGAGTGTTATTACATTCAAGTTCCCACACGTTACATCCATGTTTTGTAATATACGTGTGTGTGTGTGTGTGTGTGTGTATCATCATTTTAGGATGTCGATCTCCGTGTCCAACACTTCCACAGCTTTTCTCATCACGGAGAAGGAGGTCATTATCATATTGACACAACTCCAGAAACTATTGAATATTTAGGGTATTTCAACTTGGGCACTGTGCTGTATCGTGTTGATCAGCCAACGACTGGTCTGGAGTTTGGAAAGGATTGATCCGTTTTCTAAGAATTGTCATTAGAATCTTAGCATATTTGATCGCAATATCTTATTCATACTGTTTTTAAAACCACACAAATGATATAATAAAAGCAAACGCATTCTTCGAACAGTGGCTGAATTAATTCTACTCGTCCGTACAGTCATAATGAAATTGCCTTTTTAGTAGATCGTTTATACGCGTATCGGTTGTTGTCCCGTGCACTATAACTATAGTGCATATTTCACACTTTCACAATTAAGTGTATTTAAATCCGATCACTGTTATATTTTCCAAATCTTCCTACCGTCCTTAATCCCCCATAATCTGTTTGACGTGCAAAGCTGTATGTTAATTCTATCAGACGGCAGACGGTAGACGGCGGTACACCACGAATATCTCGTTCAGTATAATTGTGTAGTATAGCTGATAAGGTAGTCGGGCCATGAAAATGAAGTTCAGCATCGAGTCCACTGCTTCTTACAATAGTATACACCCAGCATACCATTATACAGAACAATTTGCCAACAATGCTCAAACGTATCAAGAGGGTACCAAATGGTTCGGTGTGTTTCTGGCGTTTATGTCAGGTACATTTTTCACTATTAGTTCCGCGTTAGTTAAAGCGATCCAAAATGTTGATCCCATGGTGCTGCTGGCTATAAGAGCTATCTTGCAAATGCTGGTCATGGCCGTTACAGCGATCAGAGCCTCCAAAAGTATATTCGGTCCAAAGGATCAAAGACTGCTCTTGCATTTCCAGGTATGTTAACAAATTAATCAATATTGAAAACTACAGGTTTTTTTTCACTTTTTAGAATAAATCGCAATAGACCGTTATCTGATTTTTCTTCATGTGGTCACAACAATTTAAATACTGACAATTCTTCGTCCAATATTTAGCGATTCTATAATGTGATTTGCAGGGAATAGTAGGTGGTGCTACTCTATCGNGTATCATCATTTTAGGATGTCGATCTCCGTGTCCAACACTTCCACAGCTTTTCTCATCACGGAGAAGGAGGTCATTATCATATTGACACAACTCCAGAAACTATTGAATATTTAGGGTATTTCAACTTGGGCACTGTGCTGTATCGTGTTGATCAGCCAACGACTGGTCTGGAGTTTGGAAAGGATTGATCCGTTTTCTAAGAATTGTCATTAGAATCTTAGCATATTTGATCGCAATATCTTATTCATACTGTTTTTAAAACCACACAAATGATATAATAAAAGCAAACGCATTCTTCGAACAGTGGCTGAATTAATTCTACTCGTCCGTACAGTCATAATGAAATTGCCTTTTTAGTAGATCGTTTATACGCGTATCGGTTGTTGTCCCGTGCACTATAACTATAGTGCATATTTCACACTTTCACAATTAAGTGTATTTAAATCCGATCACTGTTATATTTTCCAAATCTTCCTACCGTCCTTAATCCCCCATAATCTGTTTGACGTGCAAAGCTGTATGTTAATTCTATCAGACGGCAGACGGTAGACGGCGGTACACCACGAATATCTCGTTCAGTATAATTGTGTAGTATAGCTGATAAGGTAGTCGGGCCATGAAAATGAAGTTCAGCATCGAGTCCACTGCTTCTTACAATAGTATACACCCAGCATACCATTATACAGAACAATTTGCCAACAATGCTCAAACGTATCAAGAGGGTACCAAATGGTTCGGTGTGTTTCTGGCGTTTATGTCAGGTACATTTTTCACTATTAGTTCCGCGTTAGTTAAAGCGATCCAAAATGTTGATCCCATGGTGCTGCTGGCTATAAGAGCTATCTTGCAAATGCTGGTCATGGCCGTTACAGCGATCAGAGCCTCCAAAAGTATATTCGGTCCAAAGGATCAAAGACTGCTCTTGCATTTCCAGGTATGTTAACAAATTAATCAATATTGAAAACTACAGGTTTTTTTTCACTTTTTAGAATAAATCGCAATAGACCGTTATCTGATTTTTCTTCATGTGGTCACAACAATTTAAATACTGACAATTCTTCGTCCAATATTTAGCGATTCTATAATGTGATTTGCAGGGAATAGTAGGTGGTGCTACTCTATCGCTGCTGTATTATAGTTTCCGTGAATTACCCATAGGAGATGCAACGACTATTATATTCAGCTCTCCGGTTATCGTTATCGCATTGTCTTTCATTTTCTTAAAGGAACCATGCGGTATACTACGTGTGATAGTCATGTGTTCACTCTTTGCAGGAGTAGTTTTTGTATCCAAGCCACCATTTTTATTCCAGGTAAGAGAATAAAATGTTGCTAAAAAAATGTTCGTTAATAAATATAGTTTACTACAGAGCATGTGTTTTATATTTATATAGATGCACAGAGCTGAACCATATAATCTCATCGGATACCTGTGTGCTATCCTAGCAACAGTTTTCACGGCTCTCAATATCGTTATCATGAGAAAGTGTTCAGAAATTCATTACTCTACGATGATCTTCAGTTTATCGTGGTGGTCCCTTGTTACAGCAGTATTTTTCTTCTGCATTGTAACGGAGCAACATGTACAGAAGCTGAAATTGCCCACTGACTGGTTTACTTGGGCTAAAATAGCATTAGTGGCAATTACTGGATTGTCCGGTCAAGTTTTAGTGACCAAAGCATTGAAAATAGAAGGTGCAGGCAAAGTATCGGTGACCAGATCCTTGGACATCATATTGGCCTATGTTGTGCAAGTGTACTTCTTCGGGGACCAACCATCTTCTACCAGTATCATTGGAGCGTTCTTAATTATAGTCTCTGTCGTGTGCATGGGATTTGAAAAAGAGATTTATAGTGTTTGCGATTTTATTCCCTAGTCAAAGATACAGTATCTTAAATTATTTATCTGCTCTTAGCGTAAACATAGATAATATTATACACATTTTTATGAATGGTGAAAACATTGTTATTATACTACTAATATGATTTTGATAATATAAAGTTTCCAGATTTTACACAGTATAAAGACGATTTCTATATGCAACTACCATTCATTTACATTGTTCTTTCACCGCATTTCGTGTTTTCATACATAAACTTTCACCACATAAAATTTGCATTCAGGATAGAAAGAAATGTGTCAAGTACTTTAGAGACAAAAGAATCAACAAAATTTTCATATAATATCGTGTTTATCATGTAATCATAATCCGCACACTGTTCACTGTTTTATCATTATGGTGTACAAAGTGGCGTTTACGAAATTTTGAAATGTATAACTCAATACGTATTTACAATTGTACATACACTTTTTTACCATATGTATCTAAAATTATCCGTGACTTTGTGCGGATATAATTAATAGTATTTCTCGTAATTACGGATAATTTATTTAAAAAAAAATACATCTACGATTAACAATAAACCACTGTACCATATATCGAAGATAATAATATGTACAGTTTTATCATTTCTTTTCGACTATCTCATCCTTGACAGATACAAATATTAATCTAATCCAAATGACGCTAGTTTAGTGCATATATATGTCTATACATATTCCTTAGAGCTTAATTTACAACCGAAGTGATACATGTACGTGTTTTCTTCTGAAAGTGTTTAAAATGTTATCATGCAACACAGTATTATATTATACTACACTACTTATTTATAGTTTTCTTATCCTTTAAAAAAGAAGCTACGGATACTTACATGCGATCAACCGTCTTGGAAAAAGAAGCACTTGGAAAAAAAGAAGAAAGAATTGTGTACATGCCCATTAATCTTTGCTCTTGTTGCAAAACGTTTTAGACTTTTGTTTCATAAAAGCTTCCGATTTCTACTGCCTGCACTGGCTGCCTTATGCACACATCAACTCAAAGGATTTATTGAAATCATTGAATCCACGCGAAAGAAACATTATATAGCTACCGTTGAACGGGAATGTAACTGTAACACTCTGAAATAAAAATCATTTGTACACGATATCGCCATTTCTGTGTGAATTCTTTTCTTTTTTTGTCAACTCCTATGCAAATGTATATTTACATACTGTTTTATCCAAAAAATTGTTATTTTACATTGGTCGTGTAATTTCTCTGTTTCCTAAATACTTCATACCATAATCTTTTTAACTGTACAAAAATCTGACTTATAATCTGTAATTCTAAGCATCCTTCAACTGATCTTTAAGTATTCCTTCTTTGATATAGCATCAATATAATTACAAGTATCGCTGCAAGAAGTTGTCATTCCTAAAGTATGTACATAACATACAAAACACGATGCTGTCCTACAACTGTTAAACACACTCCACAGTACTCAAACAGATTTATACCAGCACTCTCTTTTCTTTTTCCATATTATGAAAAGCTTTCTCAGCTTGCTCATTGAATTCCATTGAATTCTTCATGTATGAAAATACAGAAATAAACGAACAATGTGCACTATGTGCCATTCTTAAAGAGACATGGATAAGAACACGAAATAATAAAATATATATGTATATGTAATGTATACGTATATATACATTTTGGGCAAAATGCTACAAATAGTATCAGAATTTTCTTCATATTAAAAATATCTCTGGGCTACAAAAATAGGGCACACACTGCTTTTGATTGATTGCCACACAATAATGCTGTTGAAACATTGTTAATCCGTTTTTTGGAATAGCTATATACGCACTAAAGTTGTAAAAGCGCTACCGATTTGAGTTTTCATTGTCGAATTATACGACTTTTTATCTCGATCAATTTAAGAAACTAAAGAACTAGAACATATTTTTTTCTTCCAACCATGACACATGTTCAGTTTAAAATGGTAAATTAGCAAAACACTTTTACTATTTTCATATAAAACTCGAATATTTATAGATAATAACAATTTAAATAAAATCTTTGAAATATAATGTACTCGATGTTCAGCAAGAAAACTCATCAAAGGGATAAAAGTAGTATGATAAACTAAAAAGTAATAGAAACTTTTGTATAGTAATAAATAACACACCTAAACGTATGGAACTACCATTAAATGGAGGATTTTAACATAAATGTACTGTTATTTACTTTTATAAAGCAAATGTTTAAATACTATCCAATGATACCCTTAAAATATTTGTATAAAATTACAATATAAGATCTTGATTAGAGACGAAACCTGAAACTTTTACCATTATGTATAAGACTTATACTAATGGAAACAAAATTACATAAGTAAATTTGTTTAAAGATAGTACTATTCGATATAATGTAAGTAGCACCCACCAATAACGAAAAGCAAATCAGATCTGATCGTGTATGATTCGCCGAAAATAGAAAATAGAAAGTAAATCATTTCAAGCTCCAAAATGTTTTATGTTTAATGTTTCCTTCTTCATAAAAGTTCTACACGTAATACTTCGTACAATCTACAATATACAATGCCAAATGTAATGAAGCAGCTCTCGAATAACTTCATCAGAACCATTTGGATATGTTAATATAAACAAAGTATATCGTAATGATGAGCTTGTGTTTATCTTATAATAAATATCAATGAAACGGTAACGATGTGTAATCTTGTTCCTTGGGTCACAAAATGCTCGATGGTAAGAAAATTAATTCGTAGAAATGTTTTTATGCAATGTGTGCAATATACATGTGTACTTCACTGTAAGATCAAATTTATTCAGTTCAGAAGAAATATAGCCGCGGTTCTTTCGTGCCTCTAAAAGAATCTTCTACTGTTAAAATCGAAATTAAACAATTATTGCTGCGAGTAAAAGAAAAGAAAAAGAAGAAAGGACAGAGTTGATTTATCAAAAATGTACGTACGTATGTTACGTAAATGTACGTAATAATGCGTACAAATTGTTTATGATAGTAATTCAATGGATTGATTGATAGATATCGAATTCGCTTAGTATCTAAAAGCAAATATACAGTGTGAATTTAACTTATAGAAACGAGTAATTTCACCATAGAATGGTAAAGCTTTAATATTACGAATGCCTTAACATCTTATGTACACAGAGTGTTATTGTTTCTTCTTTTTTTTCGTTCCATTAAATTAATTTTCCTCATAAAATCGTGGATGGCAAAAGATTGGTCTAACTTTTTATACATTATAAATGTATAAAACGTTTGTAACATGTTACGTTGTACCATGATTCAGTACGAATTTTGAGTCGAATCTTTGCTGTAGAAACACAAATAGTCCATAAATGAAAAAGGAATCCAACGATGTTGTTGATCGGGAACGCCCGAATGATTTCTATATACCTTAGAATGACGCAATAAACTAAAGACAGCATCAACGTTTTAAAATACTATGTTAAACACAAGGAAACTTAGTGCGCTTCATAGAACAACGAGCAGAGGACACAATTTTGGCAAATAGTAACGTGTGATGCCAATTCAAATAAACATATTAAACCTTCATTGACCATGTTAAAATATTGCTTGATTAAACAAATATTCTTAGAATAGAACAAATTCGCATACCTTCTTTAATTGCATTGAACAAATTAAATCAAATATGTATCGGAACATGCACCAACAACTCTGCACGGCTGGAGAACACCGCGGAACACATTTCACATGTGTACTCTACCGCATCCGGTATTATAGTTTCCGGAATATCATCCACAGGCGCTATAACACTATGGTGAACAGCCATCATTCGTTGTGGTGTCGATTCAACTTTCACACTGAGTTTTAAGTTTCCGGGCCCAATATCATCGGTATTGTTTACTTTGCCCATGTCGGCAAGATGATACTTGTCTTCTTCGGCGGAGATGCTCGCTTCAAATGCAACTTCCAAGTGACTTCCGTCCATCGCGTGCTCCATTAATCTCGCAGAATCTGTGTTCTCTGTGTTATTGTTGTTCTGCATCTCTTCTTGATCGATATCCATTGGCTCCTGCTTTATTCCGTGTTTTTGTTTCTTGATCTTCTTCAAGACGCCGGACCTTTTTCTAGGCGATGAATCCAGCTTGTCGTTAACGGCGAGAATATTACCGTTGTTATTTCTATGATTGTTACTCGGTACTTTTGGCAAGTTAGGTTCCAGCTTTATATTCGTCAATGGCAACAACTGATGCGTCGGTATCAGAGCTTTATCATCCTTTGGTTTCGGGAATGTCGCCGGTGCCGATTGAAGCTTTCCTTCAATGTGATAACTAACATTCTTCGTTCTCGGTCGATTTCTCTCCCCACCCGGAAAAATCCCTAACTTATGTTCATTTGGCATTACTTTGGGAGTCCTCGTTACCATAGTTTTAGTTTTCTGACCCTTCTTAACTCCGTCACTACCGATCTCCACAGGGACACGAGTTTTCTGCGTGTGAATCATTTTTGGTCTGCCAGGCTGGCACGAAGTTTGAGCCTCGTTCTTCTTCTCCTCTTTCCTAAGCTTCTTCTTGGACAGCTTGGACTTCCCTGGATTCAACTTCGAATTACTAACGATCGAGTTTATGTTCTGCAGAGAGCTCTCGAAGCTCTTCAAAACATTTTGATATCCTTCCTCGACGTTCGACCGGTGTTGCTTGTTCTTCCTTCCAAGTTTTCTCTTTGTGTTATCGTCCGAATCGGAACCCCCTTCCATCATATCGTATTGATCACTCATACGCAACATTGTATTTGTCTCGTGCGGTTTGAGCTTACGTCTTCTCTTGTATTTGCGTGGCCCAGTCTGCGGCTGTCGCCTTAACGCAGTATTATCGTCACAATGCTGCACAATGTGCGCGACTATCTCTTCGGATGTCCCGTAAGCATCACCGCATACTTTACACAAATAAGGTGTGATGCTACCTACGCATTTTGGATCGGGACCTGAATGATGTGCGCGAACGTGTTCCCTCAGAACAACCTAAATAAATAAATAGAAACATTAACGTGGAATTCGTAAGAATGCAAATTTGATAATGTAATCGTGATGCGCCTGTTGGTTATTGAAACGCGGAATCGGTGTTAAACACAACGTAAATTGTGCTTCAACCAAAACTTACTCGCTGATTAAAAGCGCGTGGACAAATTGCGCATCCATACGGCTTCTCGCCTGTGTGAATACGCTCGTGTTTTCTTAAAGTGCCACCGTCAGCGAATGCTTTCCAACAAAATCTACAACCATACGGTCTTTCTCCTGTATGAATACGTATATGAATCTGTTGCGAACTACGACTGCCAAATGTTTTTCCACATTCCCTGCACGGGAAAGAACGGCCACCCAAATCTTTGTTATGTGAATGACGATGGCTCACCAAAGCTCTACCATCAGGAAATTCCTCTCCGCATTCGTCGCAAACAACCATTTTATTACGATGCGACACCATGTGTCTGAAACCCGTTGAGATAAACAAATAATCGGGTACCTACTGTATAAGGAACTGTATATTACTGATAAATACCTCCGTAATCTGGCTTTGCTGTGGAAACGTTTTCCACACTTTGTACACCCAAAAGTTTTATCCACATTATGAACCCACGAGTGCTTCAACAAACTCCGTTTATCTTTACATGTTTTCCCACAAAGTGTACAAGTGTTCGGTGGAGCATCCTCAGCATGATTTTGACGTACATGCTCCGCGACTTCTGCGTCATCGCGACATCTCTCGCCGCATAATAAGCACCGACGACTGGGTGATCTGAGGAAAGTGAATCAATCAATTTATCCGAATGTCAAAAAGTTTTTGTAATCAGCTTTTTACAAGCATTACCTTGCGTGAAGTTCAGCGTGTGCTAACAATGCCAAAGCCTCTTCAAACCATTCTCCGCAAACATTGCACACATGATGTTGACTCGAACCTTCCATTGTATCATCTTCTTGCTTGATATGAATCCTGATGCAACAAATATCAAAATTAGTATCAAATTTTCCTGAGCTTTCCTGCAAATCAGCAAAAAGTTTAAACTAAATGCAACTTTGATCTATTTGAGGCTATAACGAAATTATAATGTACCCATTTGAGTAAAATAATCTTACTTTTGGTGACGCTTAAGTAAGTCCAAACGATGAAAGGGTACACCGCAAGTATTGCAATAGAATTCTCCAAATCTTTCATCACCTGTGTATGTAGCATCATTGTCGTATTCTTCTGTATCGGATTGCACAGTACCACCATGCTTAGAACGGACATGTTCTCTTAAACTGTTAACATCCCAAAACATATCACCGCATGATGTACATTCGAAAGGACTATCACCACCATGTATACGTGCATGAGATGCAAGTGCTTTTTCTCGTGCAAAACCAACGCCACAGAATTGACACACATATGGTTTTGTGGGATCGGTTATAGGCCACCTTGGTGCTTGAGGTTCAGCTGATACAGACGATATCTGATCGTTCCACTTCGAGCTTGACGCGTAATTACCACTGCATGTAGAATTTCTACTAGTCATTTCTTCTAACAAACGCGTATCTTCGTCGACATAATCGTAAGATTCATTGACATACTTGCTCATTTCCATTTTACTATCCTCGACACTACGCTTCGGAAGAGCAGAGTAATTCTTGCGTTTCCTTGGTGCACTAGACTGAACCTTCTTACGTCTACCTTTAGTAGACTCCTCTACCTCTGGTGCCAGTGGATCTTCATCGTTCAAATCATCCTCTAAACCATCTCGGGATGGCGCGTATGCATGAATCTTCAAATGATTCATGAGATCGCACTTCCGAGCATAACGTGCTCCACAAAGGTTGCAACCGTGAGGACGATCTGTCTGATGTGCCACCATGTGATTCATTAAATTCGCTTTTTTCCTGAACCTTCTACTACAAAAATCACATGGATACGGTCTACTGTTTGTGTAAGAATCTTGGTCAATAGGCAATGGTATTTCCATATCATCGTATTCAAGTAAATTATCGTGAGACACTTTAGAGTCCGGTATCTCAACCCTTTAGGAAATTAAATAAATTAGTCTCTGAATTCTTATAAATATGATTCAGTAAATATTTTCATAAAAACCTACCCATCTTCGTGGCCAGATCTATCCCAATTGTCTGCTATCACTTCTTCCGTAACTTGAATATTCAGGTAATCGTGTCCTTGATCTTGCGGTACTATGTAAATTGATTCCATGTCACTAGATTGTGGAACCATTAAGATTTCTGACTCTGCTGTAGGAGTAACATTTGGACACGATTCTACCGTTTCTTCAACTGTGACTTCCTCGCAGGCTCCAATTACCCCTTCTTCTGGAGCAACGAGCTCTGCTTCTAAACCGCATATTACTTCTTCGTGGATAACGTTCCCTACCTCCTCCACCCATTGCAATGTTAAATCACCAGGTACGTCCATTTTGTTGTAATACAGATTTATTTGATCACTGAAATCACTAGAATTAAAAATTTGATTCGTGTTACTATAATTTGCATTAATTCACTAAAAAATGATACCATGGTAGGTATATCAAAATACACTGCACTAAAGCAGACTTCTCAATGACATTAACAATAATTATAAGAAAGAACGTTTAAATTATACATTGAGCATAATCATTAAGTAAATGTTGGCACAAAGTAACTACATTGATACACTTCTGGCAAATGGATATTCTCTAAAAAAAATTATGATTATTTGCTTGGTTTGTACGCAAAAATACAGTGAAATTGTAACTTAAAACTAGAATGATTTATGTTTTTATAAAAACAGAAGAACAATAATCATTTAGAATTTTGTAATACGCGAATGAACAATTTTTACTTGTGAAAATATTTTTCGAGCAACGATATAATCATTTAAATGAAGTAGATCGAAATATTCATTAATATTACAACTATAAGTTGCAGCGTCGAAAACGAAATTTCGTAACAATTACAGTTAAGGAATACAAGATTCGAGAACTCGCAATTACATGTCGGTCAATGTCTTTGAATTTTCAACGTACGATCACGATAAATTGTTTCAACGAGGAACATTTAAAATTGTTGACGTCTAAGGTTATATTATATAGGTTATGACTTTAGAGGTTATAACAAGTATATCGAAATAGAAAACAATTCTGCATGGGGAAATCGAGCAAACGGAGTTGTAAGTTTGTCGTCGGTAAAAAACAAAGGGTGGCCGATGGGGCAACTGTATTTTACATATGATCAAAGTAGTAGCCATAGCCTCTCTTATTCCAAACCTCCTTCCATCCAATTACATATTACGAACCACGACCAAAGCGGCACTCGTTCACGCGTGAATAGATATTTTCTAACTAGACTCAATTACAATGCGAACAAAGTCGATCACAATAATTTACTTACTGTTCAAATGTCTTCCGCACAGCTATTAACCTAACCAAAAATACTCTATCAGGATCGAGAACAGCGTCGACCTTCGGTTGTTTTCAATTTGGAGGGGATACGTTTAGAAATAAATTGAACAAAATGGCCGACAGACATGACTTTAAACAGAAACGATGCGTAAGAGTAGATCGGATATCCTATGGGTACTCGTGACATAAGTCGACTGCCTTATCGACCAGAGAACTATACCCGCGAAATATGTATGTACACCGGAGGCGATACTCCCGCATTTTTCAATAATCAATTTCTAGTGCGCATGAATTTGCAAGTGCATATTACATTTTACATTAAAAAAGTCGTCAAGAATATGACGCTAGAATTGCGTTTATATAGTACGCATGCGTATACAACTTTATACGCCACGAATATAGTTACGGTGAAGAATATATAATCCGGATACGAAGTTCGTCCGAAATGTGCTAAACTATTTGGTTACATATCTGACGCAATCGAAATAATTTGTTGAGTATCTACTGTTCAGTTTACGATACAATTGCGTGTATTTGTTGAATATTATTTTTTATCATATTACGTTTCAAATATTACCGCGCTTCTCAACGTTCTCATTTTTTAACATACAGTCCTTTTCTCCTCCTTCATCCAGTGGTTAAAAGAGAAGAATACATACATAATAAACTCTTATGCACATGCATACGTCATGCATACATACGTATGTAGCACGCCATACATACGTATGGTCTGAGCACGGATTATGGTCCATCGGATGCGTTGGAAATTGGAAAATAACGGATAATAAAGAGAACGCGCACGTGTTTTTAATTATATACCGTACACACACTGTGTGAGTGACACGACAATACAGTTGTGGATGAAAAAAACTGTACAACTTTTTGCGTTCGATATACACTTGCTACTTACGTTTAATAATTTATGAACAATCCCCTTGATCATTTATGTTCGACAATTACATACTGGTTCGCAATAAAGGCGGACATTGTGAATGCGTCATACTATAAATTTACATAACATATGTCGTTGCCCGCCATCTACATACTGTGATTTTATGACCACATATATACGTACGTACATATGCAAGTGTATTGTTTAAACTGCCAATTTTGAATTATTATACTGGTTATATTGGTACACTATTAAAATATGTTGAACATAGTATCCATTAAAGCACATTCGGCGGTAAGTAGGATAAAAATTGATGCATCAAAAACGTTTCATTTATGCTGCAACACTTATTGTATATTTTTATCAGGAAAAAATCAAACCTCAGCGTTTGGGGAATGTCAAACAATGTTTAACGTGTCCGAAGTCGGAAAGTAATATACATAGAAGAGGTGATTACAGTAGAAAATTTATACATAAAAAGAAAATAACGTGAACCATTATTAATACAATATATTTGTACCATTTGTAGATTATGATAGAGCTAAACCAGTCAGAATATTTGAATTGCTTAAAGAAGATGAAGATAAACAGAAAGTTAAAAAAGGTAGTGGTAAGTATATTATCACTTTTTACTATTAATTTATGTATAAATAATTAATAATTTATGCATTTCAGTATGTAAAAAAATATTACCCGAAAGAGTAGGGTCATGCGCGTACAATAAGCCTAAGAATTCTTTCAGTCATGTACGTAGAAATCTTAATTTTAATATCGTACCTGACAATATTCCAAATGATAAAACCAACAATGTACACCTATTGGACAAGTCTGAATTAACAAGCAGTCATCGTACTATCAAACAAGTTTCCGAACCAAAGATCAGAAGAAGTTTAGTGGAACCAAATAGTATTAAAAATATATATTTACAAAAACATAAAAAAGTAATAGATAAACAGTCCAAACTTGAAGTGTTAAAGGAAAATGTACCTACTGTGAAGAAAAGTGGAATTCCCATTCATCATGACAAAAGTAAACACAACATTTGTAGCCACAATTATAGCATTACAAAAGTTCAACGTAAAATAACATCTAATGATATTTCAACTAAAAAACCTCTTCAAGCTTCTCAATTTATAAATTCTCAACAAAATAACAGGTGCCATAAAACATGTTCTCTAAATGAGATTCATTTAAAATATCAAGGAACTGAAACATTAAAAGAAAAAGATGAGTGTATAGAGAGATTGTACAATAGTTTGCAAAGTACGAAAATAATAGCTCCAGAAAATGGTTTGAATGCGAAACACGCTTCGTCTGAAACGATATCTGTTAATGTTAATGAAATTATGCATTTGAAACGTGAACTAGAAAATTTGGTAAATACAACAGAAGAAAACTTAAATAAACTGAAATCAACATTGTCATGTGTAACAAGATTACTTGTACCACAAGAATCAGTCCCACCACAATCTGGTATTTCCAATGGAAGAGAGGAACATTTTAAATTAACGTTGGATAAAGAAGTTCAAGTAAATACTTGTTGTAAATTATTGCAATCAGCAGAGGAGAATTCGAAATTTCATAGTTCTGGGATTTCAGAAATGCACAGAATCGAAAAAGAAAACCTTGATATCAGATGTAGAAATTTATCACAGGATAACTTGGATGAAAGTTTTTTAAATCTAGAAGATCGGTTGGGTATTAAACAGACCGAAGCTATTCAGAAATCTTGTTCCATGCAAAATACACCTGTAATTAAAAAGTATACGCAAAAACGTTCTTTACGAGAATATATGAGTTTGAAGTCGACTATGAGCTTTCTGCAAACCCCAGACGGCAAAGCTTTATATCAGCGAAGCAATGTAGACAGCTCTGTTGTTTTAAGCAGAACATCAATTTCAAATAAAGTGTTGACGGAATTTCAAAGTTTATATTCTGACTCGCCAGATTCTACTTAGGATTAACTAATTTTAAATGTAATGTAATTTTTATATTCTGTGAAACAATGATGTGTGTCTGTATATGTGTATATAATATTAATATATGAATGTATTGTTAATAAATGAAAGCAATAAATAAACTAAATAGGTAATGAACATTTATTGCAACACTCATTCTTATATAAATAGAAGTTATTATTCTACGTTCTTAAGAATAAAATTACATTTGCTTGGGATTTCAAATTCATTTTTTATGCAACTCTTACTTTTCAAAATAGATCAAAAAATGTCGACAAAGTTTGTTAACGTTGATTTTTTTTTTATGGCAAGTGTTGGTATCGTGAAATACTTTTCTGAATCAGTGTAGTGTACTCAAAGGGGGCGCTGAAGGAAAAAAACATCGGTAAGGGGGTTGGAGGTGGTTGCGGTTGTGAGTGAAAAATGGTTGGAAAATTATGAGACGTCGAATACATACGTATGTATGTATGTAGTACAAAAACACAGGCAGTACAATATAACCGGTTAAATTAGTGTAGGCGACAGTGCATCATGCGATTGCGTGTCTTCTAGGATGCTCGATCAATGGTGCAACAACCATCCCGATTCCGAGTCCCGAGATTGTTCGTGTTGGCTGTTGGTTCCTGTCACGGTCGATTTATTAACGAGTACTACATATGTATGTATATGTATATGATGACATTAAGCTACAGGGTCCTTGTTCCCCAATTTTCTCCGTTGTATTATTTTTAAATTGACTCGTCCATTATGTCGCAGTTTTTAAACGTTTCCTAATTAGATTAAGATTATCGCGCTGCTCGACCAGTTAAAAGGCAAAGAGAATGGCTCGGCCAAAGCAAAGAGTTAACACGGATATTTGTGCTGACTGCGGAGCTCTCGGTTAGTACTACAACCCTAATTATTCAATTTTTTTTTTTATTGTATCTAATTATTTACAACGTTGCATGATTAGACGTTAGTAAAAATTTGTTTCTCAACTGACTGAAATGAATAGCTGATAGGAAAAGGTTAATATTAATTACGTATTTACGTTTCTCCCAGGTCTTACTCGTTTATTCATTACGTGCATTCGTGTTATTTATAATCTTTCGTTTTGTTGTTATACACATTTTATAATTATTTTGTTTAGAGCCAGGATGGGCTTCCCTAAACAGAGCGATTTTATTATGCGACGATTGTTGTGGTATACATCGCAGCCTTGGTCGGCATATATCCCATATAAAATCACTTCACAAGAGTATATGGCATACGAATTTACTAAATGTTAGTAAATGATAACAAACTTTGCAAATTTAGATGTGTTTTAAATAGTAATCGATGATATATTTTCTAGATGGTACATACGTTAAACGATAATGGAGCAAACAGTATTTGGGAACATTCCCTTTTAGATCCTAACAACTCAAAGATTAGTAGAAGGAAACCACAAGCTAAGGATCCATTACAGTTAGTATTATTTTTATAATTAAAAATACATAAAAAATAATTTAGCTATGAATCCATATGTTCGTATTTACAGTCCATTAAAGGCTGAGTTTATCAAGGCAAAACATCAACATTTAGCATTTGTGTTGCGTCCAAGTAAGGAAGAATGTTGCAGCGAGGAAGAATTAAGCAGGCAGCTACATAGTAGTGTTCGCACGAGCAACCTAGAAACTTCTCTGAGATTGCTTGCACAAGGTGCCAATCCAAATTATTTCTACAAGGTAATGACAAATTAATCAGAGACATGCTACTGTTCCAAGTATAGAAGTTTATTTAATGAAATATTTATTTCTACAGGAAAAGGGTACAACGCCTCTGCATGTAGCCGCTCGTGCAGGACAAGCTTTACAAATAGAGCTTTTAATTGTGAATGGTGGGAATCCCAGCATGATTGATTTCAATGGACAGTCGCCAGCAGAAATTGCAAAGTATTTCCACATATACTGTACAGCATACGGATATACATATAAAAAGGATCGTTTAATTATAATTATACAACACTTTCCATATAGGATAGCAGGGCACATAGATTTATCCGAGAGAATAATTGAATGTATGTACGAAGTAACAGACAGATTAACATACTATATATGTTCACGTAAACCAAATCACTGTATGGATGAACATATAATTATTCCAGAATGCTCATTGCCTTTGGAGCAAAATGATTTGAGCTTAGAGGGAAAAAATAGATTACAGTTGGTAAGTATATATGATTGATCACGAAAAATATCGGTATGATACATAGACTTTTCTCATTCAGTTACCGAACCATTTACTGGAAGAACTAGCAATGGATGTATACGACGAAGTCGACCGTCGTGAAAACGAAGAAAGTAAGTTAAACCTTGTGTTATACGAACAGCTATTTTCGTGAAAGAATAGAGATTAGCATCTAGAAATAATTCTATATAGTATCCAAAATTTTTGGATTTTATGTGTAGTTGTTTCTAGACGCAATTCAAGTAATTACACGTCTACTTGTTACTCTGCTATTTTATTAATATGCATGTTTTTTTTTTATCGCATCGTTGTTAAGGAGAGGTGAGTAGAACCACAAGCTTGTTTTTTAACGATAGCTCAACTGAAAGCTTCAGCTTAGCGAAGTTCAATAGAGACCTACTTATAGAAAATGTGATGTTTTCCCATATCATATATTGATATTGTTCATTTTTAACATTGGGCCTCTAATATTCAGTTTTTCGTTTAACTAGTCTGGTTTGCTACTGCAACTTTACCAGAAAGATGTACAGTACCGTTTCTGCCAGTAAACCCGCAACTATCGTCTACAAGAAATCAAGGTAGACAGAAGCTAGCAAGATTTACACCAAAGGAATTTGCTACACTCATTATAGATTTGCTTATCGAGGCTCGCAGAAGGCACGTGCTTTCAAATAACATGTCATTGCAAGGTAGGTGAAACGTCCAAATGTGCGTCAAACAATGTCACATAAAATTATTTCACGTCAATTATGTCACGTTAAATTATTAGATGTAGTTTTTTGATCGATATATACACTGATTATTAGATCCAGCTGTATCTATACTTCGAAAAGAACATCAAGGAAAATACGGGTCGCAGATGTCCGACGACGAACCTTTATATGATAGCGTCGCATCCGACGATGATTACGCATTAACATCGACGACGGATAATGCAGCTCCCGAATATTCAACATCACAGTTTAAAATGAATAATGAGGTGAGTCTAGGAAACATTTTTTTCGCATACAGCAATTTGATAAACAAGTGTATTGTATGAGAAAAGATGGATGACGACTTACTTGTTGGAATAGATAAAATTGTGTGGTAACATATTAAAGGTACCGGCACTAGTAACGAAAAGAAGAATAAGGAATCGGCTAAGTACTTGGCTCTTCTGTAGACAGTGCTATTAGGCAAGTGCACAGGTCTGTTAGTGCATGTGCAGCCATCGCCAGAATTTGAGAAACTTAAATATTCTCTTTCATAATTAAATACTTGCATCGTCTCACACTCTTTTATTTACTAAAATCGATAACACGTTAATTTATGTGTTCCGTTTGGTAACAATCATACAGCGTGACTTGCAACACCGTTTGTTTTCACTTATCGTTAATCGAATCTCACAGAATCCATTGAAATGCTATTGTAGGAAGCCTTCGCGCCATTAGCCAAGGGTCTTCCGTCTGTCGTAGAAGTTTTGAAAAAGCAATTAACTTTATCCGAATCCACCGTCAGGGACCTACGAGAACAAGTGCATGCTTTACAGAATACCATAGAACAACTGACTCACGAGAACAACGAATTGAAACAAACAATTCATGTAAGACCACTGGTTGATTTTATTCACTATACTCTGATTATAAGCCAGAGTCTGATCTGAGATGATTGTAGGCAAAAGAGACAGCAGATGGTGTTATCAATGGTCACGTTGGCGGAGAGCAAGAGCCAGAGCTAGAACCAGTGCTGGATATAAAGACGTCTCTTAACAGAAACAATCAGCGACCTGCTTCTATGTATGAAACAAGAGAAGGTTTGCGGAAACCGAATTCGTGGTCAACAAGCATTTGTCAGGTAGTTGTGTCTTTACATAAAACTGTTCAACACCCGTCGTGGAGGGAAGTGTTCATCTCGTTTAATGAAATGCAGGCTAAAAGAGATCCTGATTCAATGTCTCGCAACAACACTCAGAGTTTATGGGAATGCGGTGCTCCTAGTCTTCCTCCTAGCGAAGAGGTGACTCGAAGAACCGAACAAGTGACGAGAAGAATTCAGGAGTTGTGGATGGCTATGCAGGACCCGAAACAGCGAGAAGCTTTCGTACCCTGTGCAGAAAGAATTCGTGTCGCAGTCGCTGAGCTTACGGCTATATTTCCTCAAGTAAGATCACGATTAGTGAAAAATCTGTTGTCGAGGATCATCTGAATTCACTGTGATTTCTTTGTACAGAATCCTATCGAAGAGAATATTAAATCCGCTCTACGACAGTTGAACGGTAATACCGGCAGACTTCAAGCGGAGTGCTCTGGTCTTCAAAGATGCACCAGCGACGTCGAGCATATGGATCGGTGTCTACAGCAAGTACGTTCGTGCGCTTACGACATTGCCAAAGCGACAAAGCTTCTCGTTACACAGTTCCAAACGTAACGGACAAAAGTATTACAACCTACAACCTACACTGTTTTCTCTTACACGGGATACATGTATATAACTTGTACAGATACACATAAAGCTATAATACTCAGACTCATCACAAACGTTTAATAAGTATTCGTATTATACATCGCGTAAAAGTCTTTTGTTATCCGACACTGTCTTTCTTTTTTTTTTAAATGTAAATAACAAGCAAATTTTAGCATATTGACGTCCGTAAGAAATATCGAAACATGACATTCTTCAAGAATACAGTATGTATTATGTAACATTTAATATTTTATGAAGACTGAATAGCCACGAACCAATGAATTTTTATTAATATGCAATTTAAGTTTGTATATTTGGTTTTGTAAACGTAACTGTTGCTTATATAAGCTGGTATGCGATAAAAATTCTAAACGTGGCGTTGTTAGCTGAATTATGCATATAGTGCAATACGAAACGAGGAACAGTTCACTTTTATAAATTGTTTAGCAAAGCGATATTGAAAATGATGTACATTTTAATACCAGCAATAAGATATATTTTAAACAATGAAATTAACTAATGGCGGTTGTTTGTACGACGAAGAGTTTTATTAATAAAAATGTTTTTATCAATGCTTCGAATGCAATATGAAACGCGATGAAAAAAAGTCCATTTCTCTAAGTAATCCAGCTTATATCGAAGCACGATAAATAAGTGAGACGTTTGTCGCCAGTAAAGAATAGTATTTCTTTTTTAATTATTGTACGCGCCTGCGCATAATCATTAAAATTTCGATTTATAAGTTAAGTTTTCTTGTTGTAATATTGAAGTTAGGTATACATGTTTAACTATATAATAAAGTTTAATTATCGGGCTATTGTTGACAGAAATTGCACTGCATAGTTATTTACGATTTTGCGTGCGTGTGTGCGTATGTGTGTGTGCGTGTGATATGTACATATACATATATTATGTTGAAAGTGAAATCATGTTTGACAGCTTTTGTATGACCAACGGTTTTAGAGAAGTTTGATGATTACATAAAGATTCATACTTCTTCGATAATAATAATAATAATTATTTAATATTCATGCGAAACGTAACGTTGTTATTTCGTCCCTTGATATTGAAAGTTTAAATTAGATATTCATTGTCTATAGATATGCATAGTATACGTATGCATCTATGTGTGTACGAATTCTTATTTATGTAATAAATGGTTGTGTTTCAATAACCGAAGCGTGGCGTACAATTACGCAACAGTTAGTAATATCCGCGTTGTTTAAAATGCACAATGGATATTTTCATACATTATATCGTGTGCAATCGATATGAATAATTTCAGAGATAAGGCCGAATTAAAGACTGTTGGTCCGTAAGATATCATTTTTATTGGTAAATGCAAATTTCTTGAAGATGCAAATGGAAAATCTCTTAATGAATTTTTGGATAGCATAAATCTTTACGATACAATCGTTACAGTGAGTGAATAGGAAGCAAGAGAAAAAGGAAATCGTCGACAGTTTTTCACAACGTGATCGAGCTTCATGAGAACCAGCCTTTAGTGATTTCTTGTCTAGTGAATTTCGTAGACCAATGATTCATAAGCGTTTTCGCGCTACCTGTTATGAAATCTTCGACGGATGATACAAAAACACGTGTTCTTTTACGTTTAAACCGTGCGAGTTTTGTGTTATTCGAGTCGATTTAAGAATCGCGAGGGTAAGTAGGTAAAACAGTGCGAAACGGAGGTGCGAGAAGCGGCATAATCTGCGAGAAAACCAGTGCAACAGGAGCATTTACGCGGATGATTGAAGGGGAAAGTGGTGAAGCAGCAGAGCGGCCATTTTATGTTAGTATGACGTAGAGGCTGGGTGTAGCTTCGCGTTCAACCGTCCGTGTACTCTTTGGAAAAGGCGAGAAAATCGGAATTCTGATGCTGGGGTCCAGGTAAATGCACGCACCACGCGCTGAACGTGTTAACCATAAGATTAAGACCGACGAACGGTGAGGAACTAGTTAAATACGGAAGTACACACAGACGGGGGTAGCCGAGAAGAGCGAGTATGAGCGACGAAAGCAATCCCCGAACGCTCTATGTGGGTAATTTGGACGCTACGGTGTCGGAGGAACTTTTGTGCGCACTTTTCTCGCAAATAGGTGCCGTGAAAGGATGCAAGATTATACGGGAACCGGGAAACGACCCGTATGCGTTCGTCGAGTTCACGAATCATCAGTGCGCGGCCACGGCGCTAGCCGCCATGAACAAGCGATCCTTTCTGCATAAGGAAATGAAGGTTAACTGGGCAACGAGCCCTGGAAATCAGCCGAAGTTGGACACCAGTAATCATCATCACATATTTGTCGGCGATTTATCACCAGAAATTGAGACACAAACTTTAAAAGAGGCGTTCGCGCCGTTTGGCGAGATCAGCAACTGCAGGATTGTTCGCGATCCACAAACTATGAAAAGCAAAGGGTACGCTTTTGTGTCTTTCGTTAAGAAGTCCGAGGCCGAGACCGCGATAACGTCAATGAATGGTCAGTGGCTTGGTTCGAGAAGCATTAGGACAAATTGGTCCACCAGAAAACCACCCCCACCAAGGTCCGAAAGGCCACGACACTCAAACAATAGTAAACCTAACTACGAAGAGGTATGCCAATGCTTTCTCTAATTTGTTAGCGTAACTAGTTGCAATCGCTTCTACGTCTAGTCGATACGTAAAAAGATTGTTTCCGTTACATCGATAAATATTTATGTAGGGTATCGAGAAAGTAATCGTCATCTATACCGAGGATAATTCTCTACGCGTTAGATAAACATTTTTAAAGCAAGACTATCCTACAACATTATTGTTGAATTTTTTTATTATATCAATGTGCTCTGCTTATTGAAAAGGTAAAAGATTCTCAAGAAGTCATATATTGGAAATCCACTGTTTTTTTTCTTGGAATAAAAGGTTAAAATTTTTAAGGTTGTCAGCTATCTTCTCTTATCACTACAAAATTGAAATGTTATAAAAGACATATTGATAAAAGAGTCTTATCATCATTATGGTGAATGACCTAGTTAATGGAACATAGAATATCGTTGAGAATAGGTCACAAAGTCAAGAGGTAGTAACATATGTTAATGTTGACAGATAGAAATTATTAATGCCCTTTCTCATAGGGGTTCCATTATCAGCAGATTTTTTATGCTACTTAACCTGGCAATGCACACGTTAGGTCCAATGGACCCTCAATGTTAAGAAGCCTTATCTCCTCCTTCTATCTACGTTATATTAATTACCTTATACCGTTACATTATATTAATTTCAATAAATATCACTCGTTATTGGGGATCCACGAATACCCTACATGAGTACTTTGCTCCAGAAATTCATGCGTGTATTGCTGGCTTAAATGTTGTAAGCCTTGTTAAAGTATCCGAGAATCTTTAGGATGTTACAAAATTTTAACTTTTGAACTTACAATAAAAACATAATGACAATGCAAACATGCAGAGAATCAGTTTCAAGTGGATGACTATGATTTTTTTGATACCTTCTATTTCATTTTTTACAATGTAAATACATGAAAATCACTTTACTTCTTTATTGTTTGTTTGTGTATCACTTTTTAACAGGTATACAACCAAAGTAGTCCAACCAATTGCACAGTCTATTGCGGAGGTTTTACGAATGGTATTACGGATGACTTAATAACCAAAACATTCTCCCCATTTGGCACCATACAAGATATAAGAGTATTCAAAGACAAAGGATACGCGTTCATTAAATTTACTACTAAGGAAGCGGCGACACACGCCATAGAATCTACACATAATACAGAAATTAATGGTAGCATTGTTAAATGTTTTTGGGGCAAAGAGAACGGTGATCCGAATAGCGTGGGTCCTAATGCGAATCATCAAGCACAACAGGTTATTCTAATAAATATGGCTTTTAATTCCATTTACATTTTTGTATTCAAAAGTGTATATAGAGTCACTGTGTTGCTTTTAAAAAAATGAATTTATCAAAATATAGAATATTTTGTGTAACAGGTAACAGCTGGAGCAGGACAATATGCATACGGATACGGTCAGCAAATGGGATACTGGTATCCACAGGGATATCCGCAAATGCAGGGTCAGTTTCTACAACCTGCACAATATTACAACCAATATTATGGGCAGCAGACTCAATATTTGCGAATGCCTACTCCTGGTGGAGGCACATGGCAAGCTGCACAAGCGACTGCCGCACCACCGACCGCAACTGCACCATTGCCACCAGGTCAGCAACCTGCCATGGTAGCATACACCATGCCACAATATCCTACGCAATGAAATTGATCAATAATCGGCATCAACTAATTGTTACATATGATACACATTTGCCCCTGGGGCTCTTGCAAAAACTGTTCTGTCATATACCTATTCTAACAAATTCATTGGTATTTTGACTGCAGCACGTCATATGTAAAAATTATTCATGTTTTACTTCAACCGAAGTATTACAGTGTAAAGAAAGCTCCTAAATTTGGTTGTCCCAATATTGACTGATATTGAAATGCTCTTATTACAAAGAACTGTTCCATCAAAAGTTCCATTATATAAATATATATATATATATATATAATATATTATATATTATATATATATATATTCGACCACACACAAGCAGAAACACACGCGCGCGCGTGCGCACGCACACACACACATACACACACACACAAAATTACATATTTCCATTATACGTTTCCCTTGCCAAACAATAGAAACGTATACCATTTTAATAAATGCAAGCATCTTGCAATGCTCACTAAAAAATTATAAAGAAAAGAGACAAACAAAGAATTCAAGAAAATTTATCATAGCAGTCGATCTGTCAGCGTGATTGAATAATCATTTTCCAAACAAAAGCGAAAAATAGAAAAAGTTTGTATCCATGGTGTTGAATGAGGTATATTTCTGAACTTAAGATTGCAGCCCCTTGACGAGCCCTGCATTCGTTTGCGCTGCGTAAGGTGTACGTATGTATGCGACCATTGTGTTGTTATATTTTTAATATTTTTGCCACAATTACCAATCTTTAGTTTATTCTCGAATCATCGATGAACAGAGATGAATGTTCATTTATGGTAAACAGGAAGTATGACATTGAATATAGTATAAGATAGAGAGTGTAGGTAGACACGGCGCCTGTGATGTAGCTAGATTTGGATGCATGCTTTAACGTATGCAGGGCCCTTATTAAAATACACTATGCGAGTCGGTAAACGAGTTGTAAACTTTCCTCGTTATGTGATATTTATCGTCGGTGGTAAATGTACAAAACTTTCATACAAAGAGTTTAGAAGGAAAGAAGGAGAAGTATTCCAGAAAGTCTGTGTCAAAAAAAAAAAGAGAAGAAAACGAAAAATATTTTTATGTCGAACTTGACTTGCGTGTATTGCATTGTATACACTTTAGTGACTCCTCTCCAATTGTACAGAAAAGCAGCGAACCTTGGTGTAATTATTACAACGTAATTTAAGTGTAATGGTAATGACGAAAACTTCCACTAAGGGACGGAGTCACTAACGTTCTATTCTTTTTTTTTGTTGAAATTGTACACCGAAAGTTAGCATTACGTTGTCCCCTTTTCGTAGAGACACTATGCAACGCATAGTGTATCGAGAATCTTTTGTCTCATAACAATCAGTGTATCAATTGACAATCACCTTTGATATTATCTGCTACTTTGACATCGTTATAATTATTGCATGGCACGATATTTATATCTTCGTGTCTTCCAATTAACGCAGTAGTATATGTGTGTGCGTGTGTGTATATATATATATATATATATATATATATATATATATATATATATTTTTTTTTCACATA